GTCTGCAGATTGACATCACTGCTCTTCAGTACTCTGGAGAGGTCCGTGACACCACACTTTCCCAATGCAATTCGTCTTTTGATTTTCTGGCTATTGGTACCAGGAGTGTTGATTGTGGAGCCAAGCAAACTGAAGCTGAAACCATAAGCATTGTTGTTGTTATGTGCTGTCAAGTTGTCTGTGACTCATAGCGACCCTGTGTACAACAGCCCTAAACCCTGCTCTGTCCTGTGCCACTCTCACTTACTGTCTCTGACACACCTATACCCATTATGCCAGTCACTGACTCAATCTATCTCATCGAGGGTCTTCCTCTCTTGTGCTTTCCTCCCACCCTTCCAAGCATGATGTCCCTCTCCAAGGACTGGTCCCTCCTTGCTACATGTCTGAAGTATGTCAGAAGAAGCTTCGGAATCCTTGCTTCCGAGGAGCAGCCTGATTTCACCCTCTCCAGGATGAACCTGTTTGTTCTTCTAGCAGACCATGATATACTCAGTACTCTTGTTCAGCACCACAGCTCAAAGGCATCAGTTCTTCTGGCATTCCTAGTCATTGTCCAGTAGCATTAGTGAGTTGAAGTGGGCTTGTATTGGCCATTTTGAACTGGACAATCATATGGACTATCCTGGAAATGACAAATTGTAGTAAAATAGCATGCTTTTCATTGTCATAAATACTATTTAGAAAATCTTTGATGTACAGTGTTGTGATAAGATGATATCTATATATCTACAAAGAAAATTAGTTAAATACAGTCATTCAGATTTACACACCAGCCACTAATGCCAAATATGAAGATTGTTAACCAAATTCTGCTCTGGCCCTTCCTAGTGTTAGTAGATCCTTCCCTGTCTCCTTCTTTAATCTTTTTTTCATTTCCAAAGAGATTGATTGACTCAAGATTTTCTAATTTCATAGATTGTGTTTTACCTCATTTACATAATTGCCATTGATCTTGCCTTGTTAACTTTGTAGAGTTTAAGATTTACAACACATAGGATCCAGTCAGATCATAAAAGGAGGATAATTACGTAATATTGACAATAATGGCCTAGCCAAGATGACACATATTTTTGGGGACACAGTTTAAATATATAGTAGCATGAAACAACAGTAAAGGAAGTTAGAAGTGAGATGCAGATCTCCCCTATTATCCAAAAGTAGAACATTCATTTTAAACTTTTTGTATACTGAAAAGGCTTGATGTGAGAAGTTTATTACATTAAAGTTAAAATATAATTTATTTAACTTAAACCTTTAATTCATACTGGAAAAGCTTTTATGTTTCACCAAGTGGAAAAAATAACCTAGTAAGTGATATGAAGTAATACGTAAAAATCTGAGATAATAGTAACATATAGTGCTGACATAGGTAGCTCTGGTGGCCTTGTGGGTAAGGAGTGGTGTGCCATTCCAAAGCAGGCAGTTCAGATCTACCAGCTGCTCTGTGGGAGAGAGGTGAGCAGTCTTCTCCTGTGTGATTTACAACCCCTGAAAACGTGCTGGAGGGTCTGAACTGGTTCTGTCTCAATGTCAGTAACAGAGATAGTTTTCATAGACAGTTCAAAACTATGGTGACTTGATGCTAAGATGCTGAGTGCAATTCCCAGGGAAAAAGCTTGATGACGTGTAAAGTTAAGGTGGTGTGGGGGCATTGTATTACTTCCACTAACTCCTCAGGGGAAGGTTCCCATCCACAACATCAACAGTATAAAAATGATTCTGGTAACATCAGACATGTCCTCATGCTCCTGCACCTCCTTCTGTCAAATACAACACCATCCCTGGTGTCATTGTTCTCTTCTAAATCCAAGCTGAACGTCTGGCAGTTCTCTGTCAATGTACTCTTCTAAGCCAATTTTGGATGAACTTAAGCAATATTTTGCTTATAATGTGATACTAAGGATATTGTTCAGTAATTTCCACATTCTGTTGGATCAACTTTCTCGGCAGTGAGAACAAAAATGGATCTTTTCCAGTGAGTCAGCCAAGTATCTGTCCTCAAATTTCCTGACATAAATTGATGAGAATTTCCAGGGCTCTGTCAGTTAGTTGAAACCTGTCAGTTGTTATCCCACCAATTCCTAGGGCCTTATTTTTTTGCCAACACCTTCAGTGCAGCTTGAGCTTCTTTGTTTATTACCATTGGTTCTTGTTCATATGTTACTTTCAGACATTTTTGGGTCAGCAAATTCTTTTTGATGCAATCTCTATGTGTTTCTTCAATCTTATTTTGATGCTTCCTGGATCATTCAAGATTTTGCCCATCACATCTTTCCATGTTGAAACTCGAGGCTTGCATTTGGTTTTGAGTTCTTTCAGCTTGAGGAATGCCCAGCTAGTTCTTCCCTTCATGTTCTCCAACTCCATAGGAATGAGTTAAAAATTATCCCTAGACTTTAGCTTCAGCAACTCAGTGGATAGTGGTGCCTTTAATTAGGAGCGGCATGAAAGGAAAATAGGTGAAGATGATGAATTTGGAGAGGAACATAATTGAAACAGTGACATGTAAACAGTGTCTTGAAGGAAGCAAGGAGATATGAGGAGGAATGTGTGTCAAGATTGGAGGAAAACTCATCAGCAGTCTGGGCTCTGCAGATGACACAACCTTGCTTGTCAAAACTAAGGAGAACATGAGGCTTTTGCTGAAGAAAGTCAAGGACTGCAGTCTCCAATATGGATCTAAGCTCAACATCAATGAAATAAAGATTCTTATCACTGGGCCAAATAGCAGCACCATGATAGATGGAGAAAAGATTGAGACTATTAACAATTTTCACTTGCTTGGTTCCACAAGTAACACTCTTGGCACCAGAAGTCAGGAAATCCAAAGATTTGCCTTAAGTAAATTTGCTGTCAGGATCCTTTCCAGAGTGCTGAAGAGCTACAGTGCCAGTTTAGAGACTCATTGTGCCTCATCCAGGCCATGGTCTTTCCAATTACTTGCTGCTTATCAGAGAGCTGGACAGTGACAAAGGATGATAGAAGAAGAATTGATGCCTTTGAGTTGTGGTGCTGGAGGAGAAGAGTATTAAACATACTATGGATTGCTAAGAGAACAGACAGGTCCATCATGGAGAGGGTGAAACCAAGCTGCTAAGAAGCAAGAAATTTGAAGCTTTGTCTCACAAATTTGGGGTATGTTGCCAGGAGGGACTGGTCCTTCTCGAAGGACATCATGCGTGAAGGGGAGAGGGACAACACAGGAGAGGAAGACCCTGGATGAGATGGATTGACACAGTAACTGGGTAATGGGTGCAGGTGTGTTGGAGAAGGGGGGATTGGCTTAGGATAGGGCAGGGTTTCCAGCTGTTGTACATAGGGTTGCTGTCAGTCAAAGCTGACTCGATGGCACATAACAACAACAACAACCACCTACAGAAAGAATATTCCAGGTAGAAGACAGATGTGCAAAAACCCTGAAACCTAAGTGTGCCTCTTAGGCTTAAGATAATGTGGTCGAATAGGTTGAGCTGAATGAATGTATAAAAAAGTAGCCATTGAGGCCAGATTTAGGCCCATTCAGAAAACATCTTAAGTTTTCTGCATAGATGTGTTATCTACAGCTTTACAACAAAAAGAAACTGCCAGCACTGAAAAACAAAGAACTAATGAACTGTTACACAAAATGGGTGACGATGGAGGACATTATGCTGAGTGAAATATCTCAGTCACAAAAAGACAAACATTGCAGAATACCACAGTTATAAAACAGGACTGACATGAGGGTTGGGGGGAAACTTAAGAGAGAATAAATAATGTACATGGCATTGAAGCAGATGAGGGAGAGAACTTTATAAAAGGAATATATGATTAGGCATTATTGACATGACAAGGGTCCAGAATAAGAGCTGCATAGTAAAGACAGGCAGGCACACGCGCGTGCACTCACACACACACATACACACACCCACCCTCTGTACAACAATGAAAGAACCTTTTTTCCAAAGGAAAAAGCATCTGAGTGATAAGTGGGGCAGGGAGGAAAATATGCAACAATGAATGAATGGAAATCCAAGTTCTTTATAAACTTTCATTAAAATTTCAAAAAAACCCCCAAACAAACAAGAAGAAACTGCCAAAGATAGAACAAAGTAATTCTGTGATTACAGGTGTAACAGAGTAGGATCATCAACTAAGAAACACTCAGGATTATGAAACTTGGATAACTGAGACACATTTTGGGACAAGGAACTATAGAATCTTGTGGACAGGAATGACCAGCTGGAAAAACCTAAGATAATACCAGGTTTTATAATCTAGTTGAAGGAAGGAATGGTTGAACATGGGGGAAAAGTTTGAGGAATAATTAGGAAGAGGCTTTGGTAATTTTGAAAAGAAATAATAAGCAATACTTCTATGTTCCTCTTTTTGAAAATGACAGTTGTTAGGTGCCACTGAGTTGACTACAACTCATAGGGACCTTGTGAACAGTAGATCCTAACCTGGCCTTATGCTGCACCATCTCTTGGGCATCACGATCTCTGATATGTCCTATACTGTACCATCTCTGGTACATTGTGTTGAGAACATTGTTAAAGTCCCTGTGTCAGTCCATTGTGTTGAGAATCTTCCTCTCTTTGACCTTCCACTTTTCCCAGCAAGATGTCTTTTTCCAAGTACTAGCCTTGCCTGACCGCATGCTCAAAGTATGTAAGACCATGTTTCACCGTCCTTGACTTTAAGGAGTACCTTAAAGGTTAATCTCATTTTTAAGGTTGCACTTCCTCTAAGAGAGATGTGTTTGTTCTTTTGGAAGTCCATGGGATGGATATTCAGTACCTTTCTCTCACACAACTTGAAGACACTGATTCTCCTTCTGTCATCTTTTGTGCATGTAGTAAGAAAATTCATAGTAGTCTTATAATTCACTATAATTTTATGGAAACTATTTCATTGGAAAAGTGTAAATAATATTAATATTCTTAGTTAATATTTCATTTTTCACATGCAAATCCAGGTATTCTCAGTGTTTAAAACTTTTTTTTTTTTTAAACTAGGAAAATGGACGATGTATTACTAAGCTGGAAAACATGGGATTTCGAGTGGGACAAGGATTGATAGAAAGGTGAGCAGTATGGATTTGAAAATTTTCTTCCAGGTAGGTTATGAATAAAAATGATCTATTTCTAAAGATTGTCTGTAACTTGAGATGACACTGATTTTAATTCTTTTTTTTTTATTAATTTTTGTGTGAGTGTACCGTCAAATCAGATCTGACTGGTACAGGAGGAGATTGTTCCTCCTTTTCCCGGCAGAGCATCTGGTGGATTCGAACCGTGTGCCTCTGGGATTGTAGTTGCAGCTCCTTGCCACTAGGCCACCAGAGCTCCCCTGATTTTAATTCTTGAGTTATCAATTCTTTTCTATTGACTCAGAAATTAAAATTTCTTTTAAGATCAAACGCTATTCTATGTTAGTTATATAATTCATTTTTTTAAAAAAAATTTTATTATTTTGTGTGTGTGTACCGTCATATCGGATCTGACTGGTACAGGAAGAGATTGTCCCTCCTTTTTCCAGCAGAGCATCTGGTGGATTTGAACTGTGTGCCTCTGGGATTGCAGTGCAGCTTCTTGCCATTAGGCCACCAGAGCTCCCTTATTCTTTTTTTTTTTTCATTATTAAATTTTATTAATTTTAATGAACATTTACAGAGATTTTGGGTTTTCATTCATTCATTGTTGCACTTTAGTTATGTAATTCTTGTGTTCTAATATTTTTTAAAAATGTGTCTTTTAGATATTTTTTTTCACTATAACTTTAGTTTATTGAAACAAATATTTAAAATCTCATATTTCCTACTTACAGTTTACTGAATTCTTTAACCTGAGTGGGACTTTGTTTGAAAACAAAACAAACATAAAAAGAAAACATAGAAGTAGAAATAATCTTCTATAATTTATTTTTCAGTAGTTCTTTCCTACTATATGACTAGTTAACTCTGATTGTGTCTTATATAGTACCATGATCATGCTCAGCCCTTTTTTATTTTGTTATGCCAAAGTGAACTGTACCGAAAAGAACAGTAATGCCATTAGACTGATTTTAGGACTCATGTTATATAAAAGAACATGGCTTTACTTTGATGGAATCTGTTTTGCTTGATGCTTATCACTTTTTTATTCTCAGTAAATATACAATGTTGGAAATTAATGATTTGCCTGTCTTTGGAGGAAAAATACTGTGTTACTCCTAGTTGATCTTTTTAGGTTTACAAAAGATACTGCAAGATTCAAGGATGAGTTAGATATCATGAAGTTCATTTGTAAAGATTTTTGGACTACAGTATTCAAGAAGCAAATCGACAATCTAAGGACAAATCATCAGGTATTTAGATAAATTACGGGTGACTATTTTAAGTTCTTTCAATTCAGTGATTTCAAACAATCACACTTTAGTAATTTACTTACTGTTTAAAAATCTATCAATCATAATTTTTGAATGTTTTTCTTAAAAGTTGTTAACTAGTCATTAGTTCCCCCCCCATAGGATACATGGAGTAAAGATAAAGAGACATTATCAGTATTGATAACTTGCCCTTTATCCCAGCTAAATAAGTTATTCTGAGTTTTAGAAAGTAGCAAATGATAAGAGTTTATATTTAGATTCTTAATTATTGCTACAAGTGGTAATAATATGCAGAATCACAAATGTATCACATTCTTTAGAGTAATTTCTTTTTTTTATTTTTTTTTCTTTAGAGTAATTTCTAACATCTAATTTAGATAACATTTAACTCTTAAATAAGTTAAAATGTTTAATTGATATTATTTGCTATTCTTAAAATATATTTTGTAAAAAAATACATATTTTGTTACTGTAAAAATTAATAAATTGCATAGAAAACTACATTTAAAATTGATTCATTTTATTTTATAAAACTCAGATATTTTAGGTGCACTTGACATTCTGAACATTGAAAAGAAAAATAATGTGCCTAGAATATACAATAAGGATTTTATTGGACATCGTAATTTATTAATCAGTTGTAATTAATGTTAGGAAAATTAAAATATCTATGAGTGATTGGTGTGCCTGGGTGGTGCAGATGGTTAAGTGCTTATTAGCTGGTAGCCCAGAGAAGGTTGATAGTTCAGACCTAGTCAAGAGACACCTGGTGAATTGACCTGATGATCTACCCAAGGTCATAGCCTCAGGAGTACTATTCTGCACACATGCAGTTGCCACTGAGTTACCAACCAACCACCATAAGTAGCTCATTCTTCTCATATAATAATAACAACCCTAGCTTGAAATGATTTCACGTTCTAATAGGAAAAAAAGTGACTGATGATTTGATTTTCAGATGTAATTTAATAGTATATTATTTTATTTCTGCTAGGCATGTATTACTAATTTCCTTGCAGTGTTTACTCACTCAAGTTGATTCTTACTTAAAGTGACTCTCTTGTTGTTGTTATGTACTGACTCATAGCAACCCTATGTACAACCAGGCTTATGAGCCAATTTCACTGTCTCCAACACACCTACTCCCATTACCCCAGTCACTGAGTCAATCCATCTCATTCAGGATCTCCCTTTCTTCTAGGGCAGAGTAAAACTGTCCTATTGACTTTCCTACATTGTAAATTTTACAGGAACAAATCACCAGGTCTTTTCTCCTGAAAAGTGGCTGGTTGGTAGGTTTGAACTGCAGACCTTTTGGTTAACAGCTGAACACATAACCACTGCACTGCCAGGGCTCCTTTAGTCTAAATTTTTAAGGCCAGGGATTATGTTTTATAAATATTCCTATTTTCACTCTAGTAACATTAAAAAGTATTCGTGCTATGCTGCAGTGCTATGCCACAGAAAAATTTGACCAAAGGAAAGGAGCATTTTAATAAGTTTAAAAATTATTTATTTTACAGGGATGGTATACATTTTAAACCTACATTGACTTTGATGGTCTTTTATATTTTGGAAACAGGGCATCTATGTACTTCAGGACAACAAATTTCGTCTACTTATGCAGATGTCTGCGGGAAAACAATATTTAGAACATGCATCTAAGGTATTTAATGGACTAGAACACGGAATGGTTTTATTAAGGAAACAGTTTAACTATAGAAGAAAAAAAAATACAATACCAGTCCAAACAGTCTTTTGAATCAGAATGTTTTGGTTTTTCTGTAAATCGTTTTCTAAATGGGAACTCTGGTGGCTCAGTATGTAGGGAGTAACCCTGTTAACCCTAATAGAGGCAGCTGGCATTTCAAGTCTGCCTGCAACTCCAAAGGAGAAAGAGAAACAATCTCCTGTCAATAGTTGTTGTTGTGTACTGTTAAGCCAGTGAGTTTTCAGAGGCAGTTAATCACAGGCAGAGACTGCCCATCCTTCTCCCAAGGAGCAGCTGGTGGATTCTAACTGCGTGCCTTTGGGATTGCTTTGCAGCTTCTTGCCACTAGGCCACCAGTGTTCTGTCACGTGATTACAGACCCTAAAAACCCACTGAAGAGTCTGTTATGAGTTGGCTTCAACTCTGTGCACAATGAGTGAGCTTTGATTTGTGTTTATGGTTTCCAGGACTGAGAAATTTTCATTCTTTAAAGCACCCACTTGTATTTTAGTGGTACTAGGTAACAAAGACATAAACCATATTAATGGTAAACAACATAATGTTGTATACCGTCAAAGCAATTTCAACTCATAGTGACCCTATATGACAAGTAGAACTGTCTCATAAGATTTCCTAGGCTGTAATTTTTAGAGTAGAGCTCTGGCGGCATCCTCTTTAGTGAGTTGTGCTACTAACCAAGGGCTTCTCATGAGAAAGATGGGCAATCTTCTTCTGTTGTAATTGACATCCTTGGGAACCTTGACTGAGGTTCTGTATGAAACAGAATTTACTCCACAGTAGTGAATGAATTTGTAAATCATTATAGGAGAGCAGTTTGCATTTTGGGGTAGCCAGGTGGAAGATTTTTAAAAAATGGTCAATATGTATATTTTCATTTCTTTCTAAACTTAGCTCAATTTAACATTTCTGAATCTGTTAACTTCCAGTTAACTTGGAAAATAAGAGAGTATCTTAGTTTCTTCATCTGTGAAAAAGGAAGTTGGACCAGACAGATGATTTTAACTATTTTGAGATCATGAACATTTGTTGAGATTTTGATGAGAGCCCTGGACCTTTTCGGTCCCCAATAAAGAGGTGTTTAGATTTTTAAAGATTTTCTGTTTCCATGATTAAGATATTGGGATAGACAATCTCTAAGGCTTATAAATTTATTTATTAAATAACCAATTACTTAGCAGTACCCATTTATATATACATATTCTCTGATGCAGTAGTCTGTAGGGAGCTCCAGTGCAAACATAAAGGCCATGTCCTCTGGTGGATTGGATTCTCCAGCATTCCAGGGGAGAATGATAGGCACTTTCCTCCTATATAATTTACAGCCTCAGAATACTAATGGAGGGTCAGCTGTGAGTTAGTTCTGACTTAAGTGAGTTTGAGTTTTTATTTCTGTTAAATATAAAATAGTAAGAATGTATTTATAGGTATGTCATGTCATTTTATTGATATAAAAATGTCTTTTATGTTTCAAGCTCTATTTTTGACCTGATTTTATCTGTTGTAACTAATTCTGATTGTCCCTTATTTTTGTTTACCAAGGTTTCTCAACTTCAGCACTATTGATATATGTTATTAGGTGCCGTTGAGTATGACTCATAGTGACCCTGTGAACTATGGGACTGAAATCTGGCCTGTCCTGTGGCATCCTCATTATGGCTAACACATTTGAGCCAGTTGCTACTGTCACTGTGTCGGTCCCTCTAGTTGAGGAGGGGGCTTCCTCTCTTATGTTGACCTTCCATCTCTTCAAGCATGATGTCCCTTTCCAGGAATAGCCTTTCCTAGCAACATGTCCAAAGTATGAGAGAGGGCATTTTATCATCTTTGCTTCTTTTTTTTTTTTTTTAAATTTATTTCATTATTTTTTGTGTGTACCGTCAAATCAGATCTGACTGGTACAGGAGGAGATTGTTCCTCCTCCAGCTGAGGATCTGGTGGATTTGAACCGTGCGCCTCTGAGACTGTAGTTGCAGCTTCTTGCCACTAGGCCACCAGAGCTTACCACAATCATCTTTGCTTCTAATGAGCACTCTGGCTGTACTTGTTTATGGCTCTCTGTTTGTTCATTTGGCAGTCCACATAGAACAAAATATTTCTTTTCTGTGGTGCTATTCTGGGCACTATAGGATGTTCAGTGTCATATCTAATTTCTATCCATTAGATACTAGATTTTGTTGTTTTTAGGGGCTGTCAAGTTGACTGATTCACAGTGACCCTGTGGACAACAGTTCTAAACCTCACCCTGTACTGCACCATCCTCCTAGTCTCGGCCTCCTCAAGCCACTGTTGGAGCAACTGTGTCAGTCCATCTCATTGAGAGTCTTCCTCTCCTTTGCTGACCCTGCACTTTCCCTAGCATGATTATCTTTTTCTAAGGATTAGTGCTTTCTGGTAATAATGACGTTTCACCATCCTTGCCTCTAAGAACCACACTGGTTGCACTTCCTTGAAGACAAATTAGTTCTTTTGGTTGTTGTTCAGTGCCATCAAGTTATGCATGACTCAGCAACCCTGTAAACAGCCAGCCAAAACGCTGCCCTATCCTATGCCATCCTCACCATCTCTGATACACTGGAGCCCACAGCTGAAGTCACTGTGTCAGTCCATCTCATTGGGGGTCTTCCTGTCCTTTGCTGACCCTCTGTCTTTCCAAGCATGATGTCCCTTTCCAAGGAGTAGCTTTGCCTAGTGTCTTGTCCAAAGTATGAATTGTGCCTCGCAGGAGCACAGTGACTGTACCTTTTCTAAGACATATCTATTTGTTCTTTTAGCAGTCCATGTGATATTCAGTGCTCTTCTCCACCATCACAACTCAAAAGCATCAGTTCTTCTGTCACCTTTCTTCAATGTCCAGCTCTCTGATGTGTAACAGGTGACTGAGAGGACCATGGCCTGAATCATGCACACCATAGTCTTTAAACTGACATCATTGCTTTTCAGCATTTTGGAGAGATCTCTGATAGAGGACTTGGTCAGTGCAATATGTCTCCTGATTTCCTGACTGCTGGCAAGAAGGGTATTGATTGTTGATCCAAGCAAGATGAAATCACTTGACAGGTTCAATCCATATCTATCATAATGTTGACTATTAGTCCTATGCTGAGGACCTTTGTTTTCTTGATGTTGAAATGTAATACATACTGAAGGGTGTAGTCCTTGATCTTATGCAACAAAGGTTTCATATTATCATTTTTATATTATCATTTTCAGCAAGTAAAGTTGTGCCATCTACATAATGCAGGTTGTTGATGAGTCTTCCTCTGATCTTGATGCCACATTCCTCTTCATAGAGTCTGGCCTCTTGAATAATTTACTCAGCATACAGATTGAATAGGTTTGGAGAAAGAATACAACACTAAAACACATGCTTCCTGATTTTAAACCATGCAGTGTTCCCTTGCTCTGTTTGGACAACTTCTTGGTCTAGATAAGTTGTTGTTGTTGTTGTTATGTACCTACGAGTCACCTGCCACTCATAGCGACCCTATGTTCAACAGCCCTAAACTCTGTCCTATCATGTGCCAATCTCACCATCTCCAATACACCTACCCCCATTACCCTAGTTACTGAATCATCGAGGGTCTTCCTCTCCTGCGCTGTCCCTTCACCCTCCCAAGCATGACGTCCCTCTCCAAGGACTGGTCCCTCCTTGTATGTTGCAAAATCTACATAAAGGTTCCATATAAGCCCAATTAAAATGTAATGGAATTCTTATTCTTCTCAATGTTAGCCATAATTTGTTATGATCCACACAGTCAAATGCCTTTGCATAGTCAATAAAAACACAAGTAGATACTCTTCTGGTATTCTTGATTTGAGCCAGTATCTATCTTACTGGCTACTCTTATCAGCAGTGATATCAGCTTGAACTTCTAGTAGCTCCCTGTCATTGTACCATTCTAAGCATTTTTGAATAATCTTCAATAGTATTTTGCTTGCATGAGATATTAATGATCAGTAATTTTCACATTTTGTTGAGTCACATTTCTTGGGAATGGGGACAGATATGATTCTGAATTATGTCAATTGGTATTCCCTAGATTCCTGGGTCCTTAGCTTTTTGCCTTCAGTGCACTTTTAACTTCATAGCCATTAGCTCTTGTTCATCTAGTACTTTCTGATTTTTCTCAGTGTCAGCTGATTCTTTTTGTTAAAGTCATTCAGTGTATTCTGTCCATCTTCTTTTGATGCTTCCTAGATCATCCAAAATTGTGCCCATAGCATCTCTCACTACTGCAATGTGAAGCTTGAGTTTGGTTTTCAGTTCTTTCAACTTGAGAAATGCTGACAGCTCTTTGTATGTTTCATTACAGCATTTTGCTTTATCTTCTTGAGCTGTCCTTTGAAATCTTCTGTTTAGCTCTTATTAATTCCTCTTGTTTTGTCTTCTTGATACTCTAATGCAATTTTGGTGGTCTCTTCTGACATTTATTTTGGTTTTTTTCTTTCAGTACTCTTCACCAACACCACAAATCAACAACATTGATTTTTCTTTGGTCTTATATTTTCATTGTTCACCTTTCACTTGGATATAAAGCAGCTGAAAATATCCTATTAGTAGACTCTCTGACTGAGCTAAAGTCATGTGTTTATGATTTAGTTGACCAAGAGCTGGGAAAGTGATTATTTATGGTCAGTTGTGCTAATGAGAAACCTATACTTGGACCAAGAGGCAGTTGTCAGAACAGAGCAAGGAAACACTGCATGGTTCAAAATTGGGAAGGGCGTATGCTAAGGATGTGTTCTGTCTCCATACCTTTTCAACCTGTATGCAGAACAGATTATTCGGGAGGCTGGGCTCTATGAGGAAAAATGTGGGGTCAAGATTGGTGGAAGATCTATCAACAATCTGTGTTATGCAAATGACACAATCCTGCTTGCTGAAACTGAGGACTTGAAGTGCTTGTTGCAGAGGGTCAAGGACTGCAGCCTTCAATATGGATTGTCAAGAAGTCGAAGATTCTCACCACTGGGCCAATTGGCAGCATCAGGATAGATGGTGAAGATTGAGATTGTTCACAGCTTTAGTTTGCTTGGCTCCACAGTCCACACTCGCGGCACCAGCAGCCAGGAAATTAAAAGATGTATTGCCATGGGAAAGTCTGCTGTTAGGGAACTCTTCAAAGTACTGAAAAGCAATGGTGTCTCTCTGGAGACTAAGGTGCGTCTGAGACAGGCCATGGTCTTTGCAATCACTTGTTATGCATCGGAGAGTTGGACAGTGACTAAGGAGGATAGAAGGAGAATTGGTGCCTTTGAGCTGTGTGCTGGAGAAGAGTATTGAGGGTACCATGGACTGCTAGGAAAACAAACAGATTCATCCTGGAAAGTGTTAAACCGGGTGGCTCCTTGGAGGCAAGGATTCTGAGGCTCCGTCTGACATACTTTGGACATGTTGTGAGGAGAGACCAGTCCTTGGAGAGGGACGTCATGCTTGTTAGGGTGGAGGGACAGTGCATGAGGGGAAGGCCCTCTATGAGGGAGATTGATTCAGTGACTGGGGTAATCGGGATGGGTGTGTCAGAGACAGTGCGATTGACACAAGACAGAGCAGAATTTAGGGCTGTGTACATAGGGTTGCTATGAGTCGCAAGCAACTCAATGGCACATAACAACAACAACATATGGCCAAGTATAGCTTCCATAGTGAGAAGTGGAGCTTTGCTTCCAGCTTATCTAAAGATTATCCTAAAATATGAAAGATGTTTGGATATTAGAGGATCAGAATACAAGTCTTATACATACCGTCAAAAAAATAATAATTAATGTTTTAGTAATTTGAAGTTTTTTACCAGTTAGAAATGATTTATAAGTAACATGACATACCTAAAAGGCATGTTTATCAACAGCTTTACTAGTTGAGTAAATACTTAATTTTTGACAATATATTTTTCCTTTTTAGTATTTAGCATTTACGTGTGGCTTAATCAGAGGTGGCTTATCAAATTTAGGAATAAAAAGTATTGTAACAGCAGAAGTGTCTTCAATGCCTGCCTGTAAGTTGAATTCAAATTACTTAAAAATTTTTAATAAAAATTTTCAGGTATTTGTTTGCTTTTATATGAAATTTAAAATGCTAACATGTTTCATTTTACCTTTAGTAATTTAGTGTAATAATGCATAGGATATTTACGTTCATAGTCAGTGATTTCTTAAAAATAAATATTAACTTTAAAAATCTGCTAAAGAAATCAAAATTTGAGATAATTCAAGAGTTGATTCTTAACTTTTAAAGGAAAATTTTCTGTAGTGTTCTAAGAGCAAACTTTGTATTATACTGATACTATAGCAATAATATTTTTTAAACATATTTCTAGAATATCAATAACATCAAGCTACCAAAGGGTAACTTTTTTTTATTAATTTCAATGATCATTTACAGAGATTTTGGATTTCCATTCATTCATTGTTGAACTTTTCTCCCTGCCCACCCCACCCCACCCCTAGTTCGCTCTTCTTGAAAAGCAAAAGAAAAACTCCTTCATTAGTATACAATCCCCCCCAATATGCCCCCCCTTACTCCGAGTATACTCCACTCTGCAACCCTCATTCTGAACTCTTATGATAATCATAATGCCCTAAAATATATTAAACTGTTCTCTCCCTCGTTGACTTCAATGCATTATACATATTTTATCCAGTTTTTCTCTGTTTTACGCCCACCCTGATGTCAGCCTCATTCTACAACAGTGGCACCATACAGTATTTCTCCTTTTGGGACTGAGCTGTTTCACTCAGCATAATGTCCTCCAGGGTCACCCATGAGTTCCTTGTTTTTCAATGCAGCATGGTATTCCATTGTGTGAATATACCACAGCTTCTCTATCCATTCGTTTGTTGATGGGCACTTAGGTTGTTTCCAGGTCCTTGCTATTGTGAACAAAACTGCAATAAACATGGGTGTGCTTGTATCTGCTTGGATGTCAGTTATGGTCTCTTTAGGGTATATTCCCAGTAGTGAAATTGCTGGCTCAAATGCTATCTCTACTTGCAACTTTTTGAGAAAGCGCCATACCTCCTGCCGTAGTGGTTGCACCATTTTACACTCCCACCAACAGTCTCTCCACAACCTCGCCAGCATTTGTTGCTTACTGTTCTGTTAAATTTAGTCTTACTAAATTTAGTTTTGCTAGTCTTCCTGGGGTGAGATGATATCTCAGTTGTCTTGATTTGCATCTCTCTTAGAGCTAGGGATTTTGAACATGTCTTCATGTCATTGTTGGCCATCTGAATGTCTTCTTTGGTGAAGTGTCTGTTCATATCCTGTGCCCATTTTTCAGTTGGATTATTTGCCTTCATCTTGTTGTGGTGCTCAAGTATTTTATGAATTCTAGATATAAGTCCAAAAGGTAACTTATTACTATATTATTTTCCAAAGATTTTTTCCACTGGAGCTACTGAGAGTAAAACTGACTGAGATTAATTAGCAATGAAATACTTAATTAGATAATCATTCAGTGACTGGGGTATTGGGGGTAGGTGTGTCAGAAACAATAAAATTGTCACAGGATAGAGCAGAGTTTAGGGCTGTTGTACACAGGGTTGTTATGTGTCACAGGTGACTCGCTGGTACGTTACAACAAAAAAATTAGAATTTGACTTATTGAATATTACAAAGAGTATGAAAAGCTGACATAGCAAATTTCTTGACAAACTACTTCCCAATTAGAACCAAAAGTTGACCTTTAGATTTGCTTCCTTTTTAAGTTTAAAGTAAATAAATATATTTTTCATGTTTTTGTTTTCAGGCAAATTTCAGGTGATGATACAGAAGCTGTAGGATATTCTGGAATTCAAGATTTCAGCAGTGTAAAGAGATAAATTATTAATGTATAAAGTATTTTAAGTGGTCATGATTATATTGTTATAAGTTTGTATTACTGTATTTGCTAACTTATGATGACAGACATACTCTTAACCAGGAATAGGTTGTATTTAATCAGTTTGGCACAAATCAAGATAAGACATATAGAGGGCCATCCACCATGATGTTCATTTTATTCATATAACTTGGATTGACAATTTTAAATAATGAGACACCAAGGTTTAGAACTTATTTTAGACTTTCTTTCTTGTAGTGATGTGTATTTAACCGCAGATAAAAAACTTTCGACTCACTTCTGTCCAGCTGGTTCTGACTCAGCAGCCCTCCATTAAGTTTCCAGAGCTGTAAATTATATAGGAGAGGAGATTAAGAATGGATTCAAACAGCAGCAGATGTGTGGCTTTGTGGTTAGCAGCACAAATGGCTCGGGACCATCACTGTTGCGTCAGCAGGATAAAGATGGGCAAACTCCTCTTCTAAAGCTTTACAGCCACTGAAACGGATGGTGAGTCACTGCTGAGTCAGAAGTAACTTGAGTTAACCATAGAGAAGCAAAACTGAATATTGGCTAAATTAGCAAAGAGTATGTACCAATCCAAGATGCATGGTCTGAATCCCCCTGATGCTCCTTGGGAGAAAGATAAGCATTCTCCTCCAGCTGCCTCTGAAAACCTGCCAGTTGGTTCTGACGCAATAGTATACAACAACATGCACTAATCCAGATAATTAGTGTAAGAATTAAAAACAGTAGAGTATGAATCTGTTACTTAAAAAGCAGTCCTTTTACGTTTCATTTGTATTATATTGCTTATAATTTAATCATGAAAGTTTTTATATTTATATGAAATGTCACATGTATATTATGTACAAATATTACATAATATGTATCTGGCTGCCTAAATTATCTAAAAACTTCATTTTAACAGAATCTAATCCTTGAGAACTCTATTAATATAATCAAAGTTAAATAATTAATTTAACCATATTTGGGTAGAAATTTTTTTATTCCCCAGTCTTTGTCATGATGTGCAATTTCTTCTCCTCACCCCAACCAATTAACTTAATCCTTCTTGGGGTTAGTCAGTGATTATGTGGCTCCTTACTGCTTCCATTTTTAGATCCATCTATGTTGCTTTTGTGGTGAGGTCGCCAGAGGTTTTCTTTATTAAGAAAGGTAGCTTCCCAACTCCTCTCAGCTCTCTTCTCCTACAGGTCAAGTCAAGGAACTGAAATCTGCTTAATCATAGTAAGTTTAATGTCTCATTCTCTTCCCTTTAATACTGATACATACAACTCAGATTGGCCTTCATTTCTATTCCAGCGCCATTCTCATTCTTGGCATTAAAGGTAAAATAAGAGGCAGAGAAAAAGAGAAAGCAAAGGACCTTACTTAAGTGAACTAACTAGGTTATCTCAATTTTCACTTTTTGTTGTGTTACCTGCACTTTGACTATTAAAACTTTGTTTTTCAATTAATTATTACTTTTATGCACATACTTCTTTGACAGGAAACTTTACAGGAAAGGTAATCAAGTATCAGATGTTTCCACAGGGTTCTCTGCCAAACAGATTGGAGATTAAAAGAAGTAAATCATTATTTTTGTAAAAAATATTAAAAAAAACTTTTTGTGTGTGTACCATCAAATCAGATCTGGCTGGTACAGGAGGAGATTGCCCCTCCGTCTCCAGCAGAGCATCTGGTGGATTCACCAGATGCCTACCTCTGGGATTGCAGTGCAGCTTCTTGCCACTAGGCCACCAGAGCTCCCTTTCTTAAAAGGAATAAATCTTTATAATAAAAATGGACAAAATGTTACATTAAAAAGAAAAACATGAAATAAAGTTGATAAGAATTTACTTCAAGGCATAAAAGAAAATTCAGTTTGAGCAGAGACTTTTTTTTCCTAGAAGGGTGCAGTATAATGAAGATGTCAGTTTAACTCAAATTGATTAATCCTAAGGATGATAGAAGGATCAATGCCTTTGCGTTGTGGTGCTGGAGAAGAGGGTTGCACATATCGTGGGCTGCAAGTAGAACAAACAGGTCTGTTCTGAAGAGGGTGAAACTAGGCTGCTTCCTAGAGGCAAGGACTTTGAGGCTCTGTCTGACATACTTTGGGCACATAGCCAGAAGGGACCAGTCCTTGGAGAGGGACATCATGCTTGGAAGGGTGAAGGGTTGCGCAGGAGAGGAAGACTTAGAATGAGATGGATTGACTCAATGACTGCAGAAATGGGATTAGGTTTGTCGGGGATGATGAGATTGGCAGGTTTCAGAGCTAACATATATAGCATCATTGTGAGTTGCAGGTGACTGGATGGCACTTAACAACAACAATAATCCTAATGCCATGATTTGGAATCAATTCTATGACAGATTCTTTGGTTTTGATTAAATCTCAGATGATTAGGAGTGATTTTAGAGGCAGTTAATCACACAGGAAGAGATTGCCCATCTTTCTCCTGCAGAGCTGCTGGTGGCCTTGAACTACGTGCCTTTGAGATCGCAGCGCAGGTTCTTGCCACTAAGCCACCCAGAGCTCCCTAGCTTACTTTTGAAGACTGAGAAGCTAATCCCATAACCTCTGGGGGAAAAGAAATCATAAAGATAAGAACTCACATCAATGGGATAAAAAGCACAAAAAATAAGTCATACCATCACAAGACCAAGAGCTGGCCCTTCAGAAAGCTTAATAAAATAGACAACCATTGACAAATTTAACAAAAGAAAGGAAAAGGAAAAATAAAAGTAACTCTAGTAAGAAATTAAAGAGGTGACAAAAGAGCGGAAATTAAAATGATAACAGAATATAATGAAAAGATATACTCTAATAAATTTGAAAACTAGAAGAAACAGACACTTTCCTAGAAACCCACACCTTACCCAAAATGACTCAGACTGAAATAGAATACTTGAACAAACCCTTCGTAAAAGAGCAGGTCATAAAAAGACTCCCCAACAAAAAAAGTCCTGGCTGAGATGGCTTCACAGGTGAATTCTACCAGAAATTCAGAGATAAGCTATCAACAATTCTACTTAAATTATTTTTAAAAAATAGAAAAGGAAGGCATACTCCCAAAGTCATTTCAAAATCAGTTACAGATATCATAAAAACAACTCTATAGACCAATTAGGACTCTAAAGGCAAAAATGTTTAACAAAATCCTGGCCAAGAGAATCCAACAGTATAGCCAAAAAATAATTCCTCATGACCAAGTGGGATTCATAACAAGAATCCAATGATGGTTCAGCATAAAAACAATAAATATAATTTTTCATATTAATAAAGCAAATAAGAACCACATATCAATGCAGAAAATGCCTTTGACAAAATCTAACACCCGTTCCTGATTAAAACACTTAGCAAAATAGGAATAGAGGGAAGTTTCCTCAACATAGTGAAAAGTACATATGCAAAACCAACAGTCAACATCATTCTCAATGGAGTGACACTTAAACACATTCTTGTGAACAGGGACCATGCAGAGATGCTCATTATCACCACTTCTGTTCAATATTGTATTGGAAGTTCTTGCTAGGTCAGTAAGTCAAAAGAAGAAAAGAAAACTAGACATAGAATACAGATTTAGTAGCGTGTAAGGATAGAAGATCAACAAACAAAAATCTGTTGGGTTTCTCTACAACAAAGAAAGCACAGAAAAGGAAACCAGAAAAGCAACAGCATTTACAATTGCCAACCACAGATGAAATACTTAGGAATAAACCTAACTAAAGATAAAAGTTCAAGCTGCTTTGAAGGAAATAGCAAAAAATAAGGCCCCAGAAATAGATGGTATACCAATTGAAGTATTTCAGATAACAGATGCTGCCCTGGACGTGCTCACCAAGTTGTGCCAAGAAATCTGGAGAACAACCATTTGGCCAACTGAATGGAAGAGATCTATATTTGTTCCTATTCCAAAGAAGGGTGACCCAACAGAGTGTGGAAACTACAGAACAGTATCATTGATTTCATATGCAAGCAAGATTTTACTGAAGATTATCCAAAAACGACTGGAACAGCACATCAGCAGAGAACTGCCAGAAGTCCAGGCTGGGTTTAGAAGGGGTCGTGGTACTAGGGATATTGTAGCTGATGTTAGATGGATCTTAGCTGAGAGCAGGAAATACCAGAAGGATGTCTATCTGTGTTTCATTGATTATGCAAAGGCACTTGACTGTGTGGATCATAACAAACTGTGGCTGACTCTGAGAAGAATGGGAATCCCAGAACATTTACTCGTGCTAAATGCGAAACCTATACTCGGACCAAGATGTAGTCGTCAGAACAGAGCAGGGTAACACTGCATGGTTCAAAATTGGGAAGGGTGTACATCAGGGATGTGTCCTATTTCCATACCTTTTCAACCTGTATGCAGAGCAGATTATCCGAGAAGCTGGGCTCTATGAGGAGAAGCGTGGTGTTAGGATTGGTGGACGATCTATCAACAATCTGCGTTATGCAGATGACACAACTTTGTTCGCTGAAACTGAGGAGGACCTCATGCACTTACCGCAGAGGGTCAAGGACTGCAGCCTTCAATATGGACTGAGGCTCAATGTCAAGAAGACAAAAATTCTCACCACTGGACCAGTCGGTAGCATCAGGATGGATGGCGAAGAGATTGAGATTGTTCACAGCTTCAGTTTGCTCGGCTCCACGGTCAACACTCTTGGCACCAGCAGCCAGGAAATAAAAAAGCATTGCAAAGGGAAAATCTGCTGTTAGGGACCTCTCTAAAGTACTCAAGAACAACGGTGTCTCTCTGGAGACTAAGGTTGCCTGATACAGGCCATGGTCTTTGCAATCACTTGTTAAGCATCAGAGAGTTGGACAATGACTAGGGTGGATAGAAGAAGAATTGATGCCTTTGAGCTGTGGTGCTGGAGGAAAGTATTGAATGTACCATGGACTGCCTGGAGAGGGTTAAACCAGGCTACTCCTTGGAGGCAA